TGGCTTGTCGTGCATGACCAACTCTGACTAATTTCTTTTTCGATCTCGCGGTATGCACAGTGCCATCGTAATAACTTATAGGTACTTTTTATATTAATTAATTTTAATTATAGGTACATTTTTCATATTTTTTTTAATAGTTCATTGATTATATTATGTTTTTCAAAGTGTATTAATGTAAAAAATTAACCACGTTTCACCACGTAAGTGCACTGATTGCAGCTAAGATAATACTTTCTTGGTTTGTAATAATTTATTGTTAACTAAAGAACAAAATAAATAAAAACTAAACAACACTCATATCTCTAATTATTAGAAAGTACCAAAGCAATCTAAATTTTTGTCTATTCATTGCACTTAAATACTTATACTTTTTAACGTAGTTAAAAATCAGAGTTAAAAATTAACTACGACCAATTTATCAATTTATTAATGTAAACTATCTAGAGTTATGATCGATATTATTTATTTATCTATTATTTACATCTTATTAATATTATATATAATTTCAGGTACACAATCTATTAGTAGTACAGGGTTTCTATAAATGATTACAGGGTCGAAGTAGATCATGAATGCGTGCCGCCTCTCAGATTTGAATTTTACTGAATGCCCAAGGACGCATAACAAAGACCACACGCATCTGTATAACTGGTTGCCTAAAAAATAAAATACCTATAATATTTGACAACAATCATTCTAGTAGTTTCGGAGGTTATCTGTCTAATAAGTATCCACACGGATGACAGTCAGATAGACGACAAACAGACGGAAACGTGGGAACTATTTTTTCATACGTCAAGAAGATATGAAAATAGCGTTCGGAGTATGCACCCTTTTACAATTTTTCCTTAACTGATGCTTGGAAGCTTATTTATTTTTAAAATTGGTCGAAGCTTTCGACAAGAATTTCCTCGCCCCTGAAGTACAGACCAACAAATCTCACTTCTTTGAAAAATAAAAACTACAAATTGATTTGGAGGACTTTTATTTGTGATAAGCTCTACACATTAAAACAAACATTGATAATTCCAGACAACGATAAAATTGTATAAATATGTTTTGACACCTTATAATTTTCTTTGTCTTTGTCTACGACATCCAATTCTTGTTGTGACATTCTATCTATTTTTTACAGATTCTTGTAGAGCTTGTTTTTCTGAATTCATTCATGTATCATACTTTAATCGCCCATACACCGCCATTGTCTATGATTCAAATGCCTTATGTTACGAAAACACACTCCGTTAAATAAACTTATATTTGATTTGGGGTGCACTTGACCTCCACCTGTGATAGAGAAGGAATTAAATATTGCTCTAAAAATATGCCTGTATTTCTTGTAAGTTTTCCTATTTGAAAACGTTTCGATCAACGTTCTTTCAGCGCGGACACCTATGCCAATTCCAACACGTGCAGTGGAATACTAGTAAAAAACACTAGGATATGGCGTAAATGACACTCCGAAGCTCCTGTTCACACCAGTGCGGACAATACGAAATATATTTAAAGCAGATAACCAACGCGAAAAAGTGTATTATCGTTACCCTACATACTTAACTTCGATTGTTTATGTTTCTACATCGAAAGAATCTCACGTAGCAGTTTGTTTGATTTGAATGAGTTTGTCTCCTCAAAATAAGGACTAGAATTATTACTAATGAAGCTGCAATGGAGTAAAAATGTTCTGAATATTATTATTATTATAATTCTTGTTTTATCAGTTTTAAATATAGACTTGTGCAAACTTAGAGGTTCATTCATTTTACTAAATTTATTTCATCTAATAAAAGGGAACAGTGTCGCCCACCGACTTCAAACCCCGGACCTCTCATCTAGGAGGCAGATGTGCGCAATGAAGCACTGATCCGTTTGTACAAATTCGTATTATGTGTGTAAAGAACAAGATGGATTAAACAAAAAAAAAAATAATAATAAACAAAATTAAGGTAGATTCGTAAACCACAAGTACAGGACCATATTTTTTCACCACATTTAGATAATGTTAATTACATAATATAATGAGATAATGGATAATATTTTTTTTGTTTTATTTCAGTTAAATGTTTTATTTTTCAATTATTATTAAGTTTTATTTAATTTTTCTATCAATGCACAGGTGGTAAAGAACTAATAATAGATAAAGACATTTCCTAAGCCAAATAAATTTCATATTTTCCAAACTGTATTATTTTAATGTTTTTTTTTTTATTATTTTTTAGTGCAAATAAAGAAAAAATACGTTTTTCTTGTCCTATTTAAAAAAATCAAGTTTAAATGCGTGTCTATTCTGGAAACAAGTATTTAGCTTTAAAAAAACGCACAGTTACATTGTTAGAAAACCAAAATTTCAATTCATATTTAAAAACGATAATAAGCCAAAATAAATTTTTGACAGTATTACCGCTTGGAAAACATCCGCGCCAATACTAAATACTTTTTCCACCAATCCAGATAGTGGAATGTCGGTGTTGTATTTTACAAATAAGTTATTAAAGCAAGAACTCTGGTTTAAAAGTTTTAATTACTCATTTTTATTTTTTAAAGCCCAACATTTTTAACATTAACCGGTGCTGAATGACAAAGACACTCCAGAAATTGTGCAGATTTCACGCACCGGCTTCTTCGAAACATTGGTATGTCTTTGATAAGGCAACACCGCCACGAATTCTCCCATTTAAAATGCATTGTTTATGGGTTTTGCACGCTGCCAAGTCAAAATAGAACGTAGTGTAGACAGATTTTTTGCCACTAGATTAGAATTCAAAATGTTTCTGAAGTTTGAATAAACACGAATGGTCTGCAATTTTCAATATTATGACGATCATCATATTTAAGAATAGGGACGACTTTGGCAGTTTTCCAAGAAGCCGGAATGGTGGGTTTGCGGAAAATCCGATTATAAATGTATCACAGAGTAGATTCGCATAAACTCGAAACGCTACTTATTTGACAAAATATGATAGTTAATCACAAAATTATGTAGCACACACAATATCACAGATGAAAACAGAACAGAAAAATTTTAGTAATTGCGTTCACAATGTCTTAGAGGTGCTCCAGCTCCTTATGCAGAAAAATTACATTACCAGGGACGCTTGTATTGTTTTTCTTTAAACTAATGAAGCGCCATAAATTTTGTAGATTTGCTTTGACATCGTTTTCAGCATTGTTAATAAATTTGGAATATTTCATTTTATTTCGTTCTTCACAAATTTTCTTAACTGATTAACTTGAACTAAACTCTGCCGAACTAAATTTTTTATAAACGAAATCCAATTATGAACGACGTGAAATCAAAACTGGTAAACTTAAAAAAATTAGCAAACTTAAAGTTTCATAAGAATAAGAAATAGTTTTACGATAATCTGTAACAGAAATATTTTATAAAGTTCGATAAAGATTCACCAATTTTTAGAAGAACAAAAATATTCACACTGTATTCGTTTTATACTAAGTTTTAATGTATTCAGTTCAGTTAATTTTCACCAATTAGATTACTGTATTGAAACGTGAGGTATTTTTGTTTATCAAACTCAAAAAAATGTTGTTTGGAAGCTCTCTCCGTGGTGATTAATTTAGATAAATCCCCATCGTAAAATTTACGATACAATAAAAAAAGTGTAATTAAATGCCACAGCCAGAATAAAAAGTGATTGATATCTTCAATCATTGTCGAGATAAAATTTATTTTTGTTTATTTACGAGTGCGATATCGTGAATAAACCGCTACATCTGGCAGTGCTTTTTTATTTAATTAATTAACACTGAACACTAATAATAGATATCCATTTTGTCTTTTAACCGTTTTGATTACATTGTTACTTATCAAGTGGACTCTCTTTCCTTCGCTTCGTTCATTTTTTCCTCCGTCTTTTATTATAATAAATAAAATGCTGGAACCTGCTAATTAACTCCATATCAAAATAATAAAGCCTATAAAGTTTCCTTGCGGAGAAGCATAATAAATACCACATATTTCAGAGTCAAAATGATCTAGTTTCAAGAAAATAATAGCATGAAGTCGCAGGAAAAAATACTACTTGAGTGGACTCTCCACTAGCCACTTGTGTGAATGCCAGCACTTACTAATTTGCGCCTTAAGCAGAAAACCTAGTTAACTCCTGACCTATCAACCGTCTGTTAAAAATTCACGTTAAGAGTTCGCTTTAATCTGATAATAGCAATATAAATAGAACGCTTGGCATTTCGTTTTTTGTCTGTCTTTCTCCATTCTATGTGATCCGGTCCTTGGAAAAATAAATCCAACAGTAAATTTTTCCTGCAATAAACTAATAAACAGATAATAATGTTGCACGACGTTGAATAATCATAACAATGTTGTATGGTAATTTAACATAATTTATCCAGTGTAATCGATAGCGATATTTATCACATTAAATTTCCTATGACGTCGCGCCGTTTTGTTTATGAATATGTACTATTTATGGACATGTAAGTCACAACGCGTCAATTGCTGCATGCAGGTAATAAAGAATCTAAAAATAAAAAAAATAATAATGTAATACATTGTTGTGAACATCAAACTATTTATAGAAGCACAGAACCTTTTTCTAATATTAAAAACCTGTCACCGTTCTGAATTTAAAAACAAAAACATGACATTAACAAAATCTTCATTTGTAACATAAACGAGTTTCGCATATTAATAACTTCGTTGTTCCAGGATTCAAGAAATTTCGTAAGAATCTTAAAGCTAAGCTTGTTACATGTAATAAATTAACTATAAAAACTGTAAGGAGATAATTACAAGGGTTGTTTATACAGTCAAGAGAAATTCTGCTAGACTTTTCTTTTATTAATTGAAGTACTTGTTAATTATTTTGTCGAAAATTTAGAATGTGCTAATTTCGAAAGAGTGGAAAACAAGAATCGTTCCACTTCGAGTGGAAAATTTACCTGTTTGTTGTTACATTGTGTAATAAATTATTCACACCGGCCAAACACAAATTTAAATACCTTTGTTTCTTTTTTTACAGAGTGTGCAAAACTATCAGCAATATGAGCTTTTTTAACTCCTTGCAAGAATATGTCAGCAATAGCGTGGCCGGACTCAGCTTAAGCCCCAAAAGGTAAGAAATATTTAAATCTTTATTCTTTACTTAACTTTAAAACAATGTTTCCCAAAAGTTCGATCTGAATTTCACCAAAAAAACACTGTTTTGTTAACCTTTCAGTAATGTCAAAAACGCCTGTACAATGTAGTAAATGCAAATATAGGTCAGAATATCTTGCAATAATAAAACGGTGCCACTGTTGTTTACAATATATATTTTTCCAATACCTTTTACGGCTTTTACTCAGCGGTATGAATAGTTACATTTTGCATAGATTCCTATCGTGAAATTACATGAAAACCAGTGAGATGCATCCAATACCGAGAGCAAATTCCTATAAGGCAATTCTCATTCTAAATTGAATTTCTCCGTCTATAAAATCAACAAATTCCGGTATAAATACATGCCACAATAATTCCCAAACAGCAGTACCATATTTGGTCGTATTCTACATATTACGTCATTTTTTTACTAAAATTTATTAAATTAGTTTCTTTTTTCGATATTTCGCATATGGTACCGTTGAGAATTCGCTCCTTAAAAATTGGTAACAGTTGCTCCTTTCCCATCATAAGTTAGTCAGAGTATGTCTGTCGTGTGTCTGTTATCTGTTGGAAAACTAATAAAACATCGCAAAATTAAATTTTATAATTGTTTGAAGAAGCCAAATTTGTTCAACTATACTTCAGCGGTAAGGGAAGTTCTGTCTAAATAACCTTAGGCGAATTTTCTACACACATAGAATACGAGAAAAGTGCTCTCTCGTTTCCGTCTGTCTGTCGTCTGTCTGTCTAATGAAAATTGACACAGACGACAGACAGACAGACGAAAACGGGAGATCTAATTCTTTGAACTATAGGAGTCATGAAAGGTCGAGAAAATATGAAAGTAGCAAGTCGACCGACGAACTCGATTACAATACTTCCTTCAGGTGCACTCAGAAAGTAACAAGCACTTTAGGACAGTGCACCCAAAAATGAAAAAGAGATAATCCATCAGTCGTTATGCAAATTACCCAGCACAATAAATTGAAAATCGTGTACTTGTTTAAAAATAACTTCAAAAAGTCTAATGAAAATTTTAAAATATCCGTCACCATACAAAGGCTAATAAAAAGTTCTAACTTTTACGGATTCTTCTTCTGCTGTTGCTAACGAGCCCCCTCTTCTTCGTTACGAGTCCACTGCAACAAACATCATTAAAATTAACTTAGGCTTTCTTAACACTCATTGTTAAGAACGAAGGAGACCAACATTACAAAATTAGATTGGGATACACAACAGTTAAAAACATTAAACTGAAAAACGTTTTGATTATTGATTTCTGAATTTAAAAAAATTGTCGAAAGCTATTTCGACAGAACTTCTCTCGCTTCTGAACTACAGTTCAACAAATACTGCTTCTCTGAAAAATGATAAAATTTGATTTTGCGGAATTATTTTTACTTTTGCGTGATAATCTCTATGGAGTAAAAACAGTGTAATAGAAAAAAACAAGGTTTCACCTTCTTAAAAAAAGACACTTGGGACCCCGAGAAGGTTTCACATTCTTAAAAAAGAGATTTGGCGCCCCCGAAGAGCTTTTACATTTTTAAAAAAGACAGTTGGATCCCCGAGAAGGTTTCACATAAAAAAAGACATTTGGCGCCCCCGAGAAGGTTTTACATTTTTAAAAAAGACCGTTGGGACCCCCGAGAACGTTTCACATAAAAAACGATATTTGGCGTCGCTGAGAAGGTTTTACATTTTTATAAAACACAGTTGAGACCTGATTGTTTTTATTCGTTGTGAGACCCAGGGGTGGAGCTTAACCGCAAAGTCCACATTTCTGTACAATAAATCACGGAGAATGCGGGATATGTTTCATTGTACTTTAGGTGCTAGGGAAGTTCTGTCGAAACAACTTTCGACCAATTTTTCCCTTAATATACGTCTAGCGATCTTTTCGCAACAAGAAACTTAAAACATCTTGAAAATGGTAAATTTTTCTAAAGAAATGTGGATTTTGTAATTAAGCTCCGCCCTTCGAAGTGACAGTAAATGAAAATTTCATCACAATTGAGACAGGGGTGGGTGGGTGGGGGTTCTTTTTCTTAACGTATAGAGTTAACTTTCATCATTATAATACTTTAAACATAATTCTAAGCTCGAATTCACCATTTGATATTTTCAGTATTTTATTATTGAAATTGATAAGCCCCACCCACCCACCTCACCTCAATTGTGATCAATTTTTTTATTCGTTGTGAAACCGAGGGGTGGAACTTAATCGCAAAGTCCATATTTTTGTACAAGAAATACGGAAAATGCGGGATATGTTTCATGGTACTTTAGGTGCTAGGGAAGTTCTGTCGAAACAACTTTCGAACAGTTTTTCCCTTAATATACGTCTAATCATCTTTTCGCAACAAGAAACTTAAAACATCTTGAAAATGGCAAATGTTTCTAAAGAAATGTGGATTTTGTAATTAAGCTCCGCCCTTCGAAGTGGCAATAAATGAAAAATTCATCATAATTGAGACGGGGATGGGTGGGTGGGGCTTCTTTTTCTTAACCAATAGAGTTTACTTTCATCATTATAATACTTTAAACATAATTCTAAGCTCGAATTCACCATTTGATATTATCAGTATTTTATTATTGAAATTGAGAAGCCCCACCCACCCACCTCACCTCAATTGTGATCAATGTTTTTATTCGTTGTGAAATCGAGGGGTGGAACTTAACCGCAAAGTCCATATTTTTGTACAAGAAATACGGAAAATGCGGGATATGTTTCATTGTACTTTAGGTGCTAGGGAAGTTCTGTCGAAACAACTTTCGAACAGTTTTTCCCTTAATATACGTCTAATCATCTTTTCGCAACAAGAAACTTAAAACATCTTGAAAATGGTAAATTTTTCTAAAGAAATGTGGATTTTGTAATTAAGCTCCACCCTTCGAATTGACACTAAATGAAAATATCATCACAATTGAGACAGGGGTGGGTGGATGGGGCTTCTTTTTCTTAACGTATAGAGTTTACTTTCATCATTATAATACTTTAAACATAATTCTAAGCTCGAATTCACCATTTGATATTTTCAGTATTTTATTATTGAAATTGATAAGCCCCACCCACCCACCTCACCTTGTGACCAATAGAGTTTACTTTCACCATTACAATACTTAAAACATAATTCTAACCTCGAATTTACCATTTCATATTTTCAGTATTTCATTATTGACTTGGATAAACCCCACCCACCCATGCCATCTCAATTGTGATGAATTTTTTTATACGTCGTGAGACCGAGGAGTGGAGCTTAACCGCAAAGTCCACATTTCTGTACAATAAATCACGAAAAATGCTGGATATGTTTCATTGTACTTTAGGTGCTAGGGAAGTTCGGTCGAAACAACCGAGAAGGTTTTACATTCTGAAACATAACCAACGGAAAAAAGTGTAATATTATCAGTGTACATGCTTAAGTTCGATTGTTTATGTTTTTGAACTGTATTTGGATGAGTTATTTGCTCAAAACAGAGGACTAAAATGATTAATTAACCTACAATGGAACAAAATATTTTCAATATTATTGTTACTCTTACTTCATTATAATTAAATAAAGAAATCTAAAAATGAGGTTCTTAATTTGATCATTAAAAAATTGATCGAAGGCTATAAGTATAATCCAACAAATCCAGCTCTTTAAAAAAATTATAAAATTTGATTTTACGATTTTCATTTTGTGATAACCTCCGTAAAGTAAAAACCAGCGGCATAAATAACACCCCCGCAGCCCCTGCGTCGTACAATATAAATATAAGTTGTGCATATTCTCACATTCATGAACAATTTGTGATGACGCCATCAACATAGATAATACTAGTCAGAGCACAAAAGAAAAGTTGTCACAACGTATTACCAGTGCAAGAAAAGAAAAAGGGGACGAAGTTCGGCATCGAACCCACGACGCAACGTCGCCAGAAAGCGGATTCGTACACTACAAGTATAGAAGTATATTTTTGTATAACTTCAACGAAACACGGTTCGTTGAGACGACGTCATCAAATTGTTGGTGGGGATAATTAGCCAAATTGTGGTTAGCATTTAACGACCTATATGATATTTCTAACATACACACAAAATTTGACAACAATCGGTCCAGCAGTTTCGGAGATTAAGTATGTAAATGGATACAGACAGACAGACAGACAGAGAGACGGAAACCGAAGATCACTTTTTTCGTACTGTAGGGGCCATGAAACATCGAGAAAACATAAAAGTGGCAATTCGTCCAATGGACTCGATTACTATACTTCCTTAGCTTACGCTCAGTTATTAATAACGGTAATCATTTAGTTCAAATACATGTAATGCAACGGTATTATAACGTTACCCTCTTGTACGAATTTTAAGGCAATTAAATTCGTAGAACAGGTACAGTTCGAATAAAATATTAAGATAAAATACAGACATGTTCGCAGAGATGATTTTAAAATATATATGGTCTACAATTCTTTTGCTATTCGACTTTAAAATCTTCAATAATAAAAGGAAGCTACCACCATGCCAAAAATTTCACTTATGTCACTTTCTCGTCCTGAAATGCTAAACTACTTTTTGGACTCACTTGTCACTTTTTTTGACTGATCTTTCAGTTTTTTGTACTCAGGGGTGGGATTTTGTTTCTATAACGATAAAATGTCGGTACCGATAAAATGTAGTCGTCTTTTTCTTTCGCATCTGAAATTTATATTTTCGTCCTTGTCATTTATCGCTTCGTTATCGTTTCGTATCGTATCGGTAGAAACAAAATGCCATCCCTGATTTCGAAAACTTACTTTTACGTTCTGGGCCTGGTCTTTGTCAAACATTTTTTTAAGTAAAAAATCCAAAAATGCTGTTCTTTGAACTACATTTTTACTGAATATCATTATGAAACTTGACAGTACCACTTTTTTTTTCTTAGTAGAAGAGCAAAGTAGCATTTTGGTTTTTATAAAATTTGTAGGACTTTTTCTCCAACAACG